TGGCAACAAAACATTTGGAATGAACTACAAATGATCCTTGAACTGCAATTCTAGCATACTAACAGAAAGTGTGATCAAGAGTCAGCAATGCTATGACCTTGCAGTCACAGTCCAATAATAACAATCAGCATGCACTACTCTGTTCTCTTGATTGCAATACTGCCATTGTTTAGCCATGTTTGAATTAGACCCGTATGAAAAATATTCACTTTTGTTCTCTGGACATGGCCACTTTATTTCTGAAAAATTCCTCTTGTTGAAATGCCTGCAGGAAGGGGGCTTCTAAGAAGCACGAGCTCAAATCTAAGCAAAAATTGGAAAAGAAGCTCAGGTTTTACTCAAGTAGGTGTGACCTTATCTTAAGTCAGACGATTTTTTTCTATGAGATCTTGATTCATAGATTCCCTCATGTTGTCCTGTCATCCATCTTTCACTGCCTGTTGAATTAGATGTATGTACAAGCCAGACATATGTAGGTAGTATGGTGTTGAGGGTTAAAAGTTTGATTGTATGGAAGAACTGACTGAAGTGCTGGCCTTAGGATAAAGGCATTTGTAGATACAAACTGGACATGTAACATTTGTAGATACAAACTGAATTTTCATAATTCTGCAATGTGGATGATAGATAGCTCTATTTAATCTGATGGATAGAGACGAATGTTTATGAACTATATTTGTAAACTTCAAATGGTTACTTTGAACACATGAACCATGGAATCCCAGTCTTCATATTCAGTCATTTACAGTTGCAACATCTAGCAATGAGTAGCACGAGGTATCCCATGCTTGTACCTTCTTCAGCAGTTGGTCAATTTTGTTTTTCATACAATGTCATTGCATTTTCTAGAGAAGAAATATTAACTATCAATGGGTTGTCATCTCCATTCTTCATTGTCTGAAAAAGATGAATAATGGTTCTTTTGCATAGTCATCCGCATAGTAATGTTTACTTTCGGATGCTCCAGACAGGTGTCTATCTTAGCACTTGATTTCTCATAATGTAGGACTATCAATATTTCCCTAAACATTATGACTTTATCCACATAGTTTATTTGCCAAATAATTCAAGTATGTCACTGCAGAATTTGAGGCTGCCATCTCTGGTGTTCCTGGTAGTCAAAGAAAACATTATGTGTTTACTTTCAGTTTCTTGTATGGAGTAAATAGGTTATTTGTTAAAATACAGTATGAACGGATTATATTAGCTGAATTGCATTATATGTCTATGCAGTCTCTTGCTAGACAGCTAAGGTAATGATGTTAGATGAACTAAACATTGTAAAAACATACTGATATGAGAAAAGGGTCCAAAACAACAAATTTATGCTATTAGAGAATACATCGGAGGTAACTATGAAGTAGACTTTTGCTTCCTTCAAATCATTCCACATAAGACTTAGTGCACTACTACTCTTCCATGTATTCCTCCATCTACAAGTGACATAGCGGCCTTTCAACCTTAGGTAAAATCTCATCATCCAATCTAGCAAACATCTTCTATGTGAATCGACCAAGAACATGAATGTCTCTTTATCATCTCATATGGTTTTTCTCTAGCACTACTACTCTATTGCTCTAAACCGCAATATCGTCTATATGTTAGGATGGATGACCGTCAGTGGATGTACACGGGCTATCAGAAGAGGGGTCAATACACAAATGAATGGATTGAGAAGGCCAATGATTTCATGACGAAGGCATTTGCAAACGGACGGCGACATGCCTAGTGTCCCTCAGAGGAAGTGTAAGAACAAGGCAATGAAAACATATGAGGAGATGAGTAAAGATCTTGTCAACAATGGATTTGTAGAGAAACTGTACTCGGTGGACCATGCATGGTGAACGCCATCGTGGCGAGAGAAGAGGTCGTGAGACAACGGATCGAGGAGTTTGATTCAAGCCGGGTGGCGAAATGTTAAATGACCATGACATGGCTTTCGATGAAGGAAGTGCAGAGCAGAGCGAGCAAATCGCAAAGGCGTTTTACGCCATGTTGGATGCGACACAACAACCCCTTCATGGGCGCACCAATGTTTCTAAACTGGATGCCATTGCACGCCTAATGGCCGTGAAGTCCCGATTTAGCTAGAGTAGAGAATCCTTCGATCAATCTGTTGATGAGTTGGCACCCTACTTTCGGATGATCACGCTTCGCCAAAGAACACGTATGAGTCAAATAAAATCCTTCGTGCACTCAAGATGTCGTGACAGCGAGATACATGCTTGTCCGAACGGATGCATCTTATTCGGGGAGAACATCGATTTATAAGCATTGTCCAAGTGTAAGGCATCTAGGTACATTGAGTTAGAATCGTGATGGTCGGAAGACGCAAAACAAAAGTCACCGCAGAAAGATCTCGACTAAGGAGCAATACTTGACGGTAAACATGAGATGATACATCGTCTACGCGATTAATTGCACTGAAATTGATTTATGATTTGTCAT